TGAACTAAAAAGTAGTTTAATAAAATTTTGAATGTACTTGCAATATCATAAGTAGGCTCAAATTAATCTTATTGTTAGACAGAATAATAAAAGCTACTTTCACTTTTAAGGCTCCAGTTGTTAATTATAATTAAGCCTTTAAAGAAGAATATATTAAAAAGTTCTAGCACTAAAGTATTCTATAAATTCCAATAGATATATATTAAAAGTGATATATAAATAGCAAAATATCCTAATTTAAGTGTAAAAAATAAGACACAGACATACAATAGATAACCTAAATTACTGTACAAAGAGTGAAATGGCTTAAAGTTAAATGTAAAATCATTACTTTATTAAATCTCAACTAACCTGTGTATACCAGAACATTCAATACATAGTGTAATACCAAGATTAATACTAGCCCAGTGAGGATCTGGAGATCTACAGTCACAGCACAAGTCATTCCCAGGTATAGATAAAATCCGACTAAAAGTAAAAGAAAACATTACTTTAAACTGCAGATTGGTTACAAATAGTACAGACATCTTAAATATAAAGCCTGTTCAACTTTAGTCTTAAAGAATTACACAGTTACCTATCTCATTCTATAACATTAGTCAGTCGCATTTTAAATGTTAGAACTTCATTAAAATATCTATGTTAACATGTGCATGTAATCTCAAATGATTGTTGTTACACCTCTGTAATGAGCCAATGGCCCCAAAATAACATGTGAAATGTAAAGGGAGCATCATAATTGTATACAAATTCTCCCTATATAAATACAGAATGATGAAAAAGTCATGCACAACCATGATTTTCATTTCCTTACAGCTACTCAAAACATGCAATGTTGATATCATAGCATAATGTCACAATAGGATTACTTCAACACACTCTTTCAAAGTTAATGACATTGCAACCATTTATTTTAACAACAAAAAACAGACAGGGAAACACAGATGCTATTTAGAAAGATCACAGGAATGTCAAGGTTGTGTGCAATTTTTGTATCACCCTGTATTATTTATTATAAGTGTGTGATTTCTCTCTCTCTCATTAACCTTTCAACCAGCAATATACTTAATGATGAAATATTAACCAGTCCTTAAAAAAATATCCTGTTTACTTTCTTATGTACTATCTTGTTAAGTCAATGCTGTTTAATAATTAAATTCTAATTTTCATGAATAGTTTGTTTTCCACATTTAGTGGAGTTTTTGAATATCCCAAATGTTATTAATATAAAATTATAACTAATATATCCAATAGGACAGGTTACTTTAAAATATATACCACTCAAAGCTTCTTTTTAGACAGTTTCATTAGTTATTTTGTCATTTTCAAATTATTTCAGTACCAGAGGCTAAAACCATTTATGTTCTCCAATTTATACCACAAACAATTGATGCTGTATTTCTGAAAATAAAATAAGACTATCAATCAGCAGTGTCAATGACCTCTGTGAGGAACTAGTAGTACAATTCTGAAAATGCATAATGCCTAAATTAACATGTGCTAATATTTCCTTTTTAAACCTACAACTACCAATGTGGATCCAATATGAAAAATTGTTTCTAAGATATTTATGCACCAAATTGTTTGTGGGTACATGACTTTATTGGTTACAGGACCCTTGATAACATGAATCACATAAAGAAAAATATGAATAAAAATACTGCTTATATTGCAATACATCCCACTAATTATTTCCGACATTTCCTATACATTTTACACAGAAATTGAGTAACTTCACCCAATTTTTTAGGTAAGCTCTTTACAGATAGTATTATAACAAGTAAAAACATATATTACTCAATGTGATGTGATATACTGACTCCACAAGTAGTGAAAATTATGTAAGACAATTCTGTAATTTGTGGATAAAATATTCACTTAAAATAGAGTAGTCAACATTTTTTAAGCAGTGAAAAAAAAATTTGTAATTAGTGTTGGACAGTTGTCAGTGAAATTAGCTGTGTTAAGTCAAATATATCTTACTTAAAATGTTAGGAAAGTTTTGAAATACTCTATGAGAAAAACTTTAGTATTTCCTTAGGCTAGAGAGGGATTAACTCTCTCACTATGGGCTCAGTCGACTCAAACTAAAAAGTAAACCAAACTTGACCTTTAGAGTTTTCATACTATAAATTCCAATATGTTTTGTGCATCTTCATGAAATTTTGCAAGCTTTCAGTAAGCATTATTTCATTTGTAGACAAAAAAATCAGAATTTTTAATGACGAACTTTTACAAAAAAATTTCTCCATGAAAAAACGGAGTCAGAGAGTTGACTGCTCTTGAGTGTAAAGTGATTTTTTATGTTAAGATTAAAAATACTTTTCTTCATCCGAAAAAATCTCGAATTTCATTTGCTCAATCTAAAACCTTTAAAACCTCCTAAATGAATTTAAAATGTTTTTTCAGTAAAACTTCATATTTTAACCAACAAAAAATTAAAATTAAATCTAAATTACCCCTTCTTTCTTTCTAGAATAACTTTAAATTGTAACATGAAACTACATTTGTTTATCCTATATAGCTTTAAACTTGTAACAGTATACATCTGTTTATACTTAAATTTTATTGTTTTATTGCCCTTTGAACCATGTCTAACTAATATCCCCACCACAAAAGTTGTAAATAACTTAGCAAACATGTAGCTCACATTACCCTATTCAATTAAGTAACCTATGGACTTCTGGTAAGCATACTTTGTGAAAAGTTTTATTATTATTATTCTTTATTTTACCTAATCTAACCTAAAAGGTTTTAATTCTTACATTTTAGTTACTTTTGTAATAATAAATAAAGAATACACATGAAGAACAAGAAATATAATACTAACCTAGATCTTCTCTTTTTTTTTATGTTGACTATTGATGAAATATAACCCTAAGTTTTTGTACTAATAGTACTACAGCACTAAATAATATTTTACTTAATTCAATAATGCAACAAAGAACACAGAATTATAAAACTCCAAAAGTAGATGATGTCTAAACTATTATACATTTTCTGGCTTTAAAACTATGCGACACTATCCATTAAAAAATTCAGCAACGCTCATCAACATGTTTCCCGTGGGAATAAAGTTTGAACTAGAAGCAAAATAGATAATTCTCTGTACAACAAAAAATGTAAAATAACATCATTTGATAGATTAAAACTGACTTTCGATTGGTTGTATACAATTATACACCAGAGAGAACTATTGGAAATTTCTCAAAGAAAGGATGTGACATGTAGGCATGGCAAGAGGGTCTGATTTTCTATTTTATGGCTCTATAACCAAATATTATTGAAGGCTGTAAAATATTATGCTTTTCCAGAGTTATAACAGCATCATAATGAATAAATTATGCTAAATTTCATAATTCTGGGAGGGGTAATAAATAATTAGAGAAGAGGGGATACCTAATTAAATTTTGAATGTAACTCAGTAAAAACTCATGAGATGCACAAAAAAGTATGCCCGTAGTAGTGAGATGGTTAATTTAAATAATAGTCCCAACTATAAGCTAGGGTTAAGAAATCAGTTAACAGTATGAGAAGCAAATAAATAACACATTCCAGATATATAAAATAAAACTAAAGGAAATACACACTTAGGAAATACAAACAAAGCCACTGTATAAAAAATGTACTAAGGGTCCATGTAATTTACATTTGTTAGGAATGCTTAACATGAGGTAAAATAAACCTTTTGTCCAAAGAACATCAGGAAAATGTACAAAACTCGTAAAGAATTACATTAGAATAAATAAATGGCCACGAGTTAACTTGGGTCACAATTGGATAGATACAAGTAATAAAACTGATTTGATGAAAACATAGGTGGAGAGTTCGTACTCAGAGAAGTAGGCAACAGGTGTTTTGTCAACCAAAGATCAGTATACTTTACTGATAAGTATGTGGAGAACAAAGTACTATTCACCAAGTTTGCCCTTGACAGCAAGGAATGGAAACAGCGTATAAGTGATGCAATTAAGAAAACCCGTCATTAGATAACCAGTTGCATCCAGTTCATGACTATGCACCCAATAGCAACTAAAACATATAAAAAACACTAGGTTAAATTTATAGTTAAGTAATCAGTCAGCCTAGAGTCTACCTTGAGAAGTAAGCAAACCTAAGCTTCAAAGTAATTTGTCTTAATGTTTGAAAGTTTGTTTTAAAATGTTAAAAAACGTTTTGAAGTTTTAGCAGTAGGTAAACCACTTAAATATTAATATAATCTTTAAAACAATGAAAAGTTTGTTTTTGAACAAATCTTTGTAAATAGAAGAAGCTAATAAAATGTGTCTTTATTTCATTATTACAAGACTCCATTTTGCTTATTCTAATTTACACTTTCTCAAGATGGTGATCTGTGTGTATTTCCACTGATTGCATATTCCTGGTATCTAAATAAATAGTATTTGTAACTTGTAATTGTCCCATGATAACATCCCATTAATCAATGTCTGACAGAAATATAAATATAAACAACAAAGTTGTCAAACATTTTTTCAGGCAAGAAAGCTTTGTGGTATCTCTTGGATAATCAGAAGAGCAAAAAAGTTAGTCCTGCTAAGAACTAGAGGTTCTCCGCTCTTGGATTGGGTGTATATTTCTCAATGAGTTGTTGTGGATGTCATACAGAATGAGATAAGACACAGATCCACACACAAAGCAGCATTTATTTAAAATCTTCACAATCAACAATACACAATGATAGAATAATAAAAAGCAATTAGTTGTATGTGTGTGTGTGTGTGTGTGTCACTGACAAGAGCTAAAGAAGACTTTAATAGAAAAACAGCAGCTCTTGACACTGCATGTAGGTCCTTCTTGTAAGTTAAATTGAGTTAAAAAAAAAGGAAAAGAAAATCCTAACTGAAAATGTAACTCAAATTAAGTTAAATATCATGTTACCTTAAACATGTAAATACTCGATGTGAAATCCAAGATCTTACTTGGATTTCAACAATAATGCTTCAAAAACATTTTAAATCTTGAATAATGGAGCCAATGCTATACCATAAATACATTCACATTTAATTTGAACAAGTATTTTAAATCTTGTTTGCTTAAGGAACCATGAGAACAATAATAACCTTAAATAACAGGTAAGATCACGAGTCACTTGGAACTTAAAGTAAAAGGATAATGAAAATAAAGAAAAAAACTGAAGTTTTCCTTTCAAACCCAAACAATGCCTTATATATCAATGAACTCTCAACTTTCTGATATAAGAAAGCAGTGAGGTTCTTTTTAGATCAGCTGCCAGCAGACAATGAAGATCAAGTGTCAACTCAGCTCACTATATAAAAACAAATTTGTTAATCCTGCAAGAGACTGTTTGTTTGTTGTTAAGCACAATGCTACACGATAGGCTACCTGTGCCATGACTACCATGGTTATTGAAGTCCAGTTTTTAGTATTTCAAGCCTTCAGACTTGCAGCTGAGACACTGGGGGCACCTCTTGCAAGAGAGCCAGAAGGCCTTGGTTTTCACTTAATCTAGTTTGCCACTTAAAGAAAATGAAAGTTAGTAACTCACTTGTGTACCTCTCTGCATCCAACCAGGCAACCATGAAAAATTACATAATTTTTAAGTATTGCACTTTTTAAGTAAAAGGATGAAAAAACAGACACATTATATAAACATTAAAAAAAAGTTGTGCAATCCCTCCAGAGAGAGGGAGTTCAAGTGGGCATCAGAACAGGGGTGTCCATATCAGCGTAATGCAGGTCACCCCTATGATACTGTATGGCAAATTCAATGGTTTTAACAGCCAGATGGGGTAAAGTGTTTTCCTCTGGAGATAGGAAGGGACCTTAGTTCCTGTATGTATGGTGTGTGAATTGTAGAACAGAACACATACCAAACTGTACAGTTTGATTACTACCTTAGCCACACTACTACTTATGTCCATTCAATCTGTCATGTGCAAATGCTTGGTTGGTCATATAGTTTTCAGCCATCCCTGTGACACATTGGCTCATTTTTGCCTTTCTCCACTTATACTTCCATCCAGGAGAAAAGTATACTCTGCTTGATAAGGATAAAGTATTTCAAGAGTGTTGCCCCTCTAGCAAGCTCCCACTACTGGGTGTCACCATTCATAAGCTTTTCCCTTCTGATGCCTTCTTTGAAGGGAGCTCATTTAGGTTTTTAATGATGAGGAAGCAACTTTTTAGAAACAAAACTTTGGATATGGCTTGACTGGGTAATGAAAAAAAATTCTATTGTAAATGTACTGAGGATGACATAATATTGTTAAAACGTCATTCATTTCCAAGTCAAGCCGTCGCCAAACTTTCATTTAGGGTTTCTCTTTTGCACTAGCTACACAACATCAGAATGTAGAATTCTAGCTACTGCATGTACAAAGGCAGGTGGATGGTTTGATATTTAACATCTTCCTTACCTGAAAATGTATGTTCCATACATACTTACCTCTCTTCACACACTTCCTCCCCACTACTGATGCACATTATTCTTGCCTCATCTAAGAATGAAGTTAATTTCAACTGCAAGTGCTTATGAGGATCTAATGCATATATAGGATGTATCAGTCTTATTGGTGGAGGGCTATTGCTTCATGATGATTACATCATGTACTAACACAGTTCATATCAAAACACATGAATTAGGTGCGAGATAGTTTAAGGCATGCATAAAGTCTCAGGCAAGTGCATGAGAAATAGCTACTGTGTGTAGAGAGGTAAGTGGATCATTTCAGAATTCTGTTGAATATTTGTAGATGAGCTTTTAAAACTGTGATGAAATGAAATCCCAAAAATAAAATTATACTTTACATAATAAAGAGACAGCCCTTACTTATAAACTCTGGGAGGCTTTGCAGGTGGTACCTGTCCATTTTTTGTGACCTTTTGGACTTGTAGCCTTTGAATCACCTGATACTTCAATAATTCAGGCTGAAAGGAAAACGGCAAACATTATGACCTAGCTTCAATAAACAACAGTTCAACTTGACTCTTGAATAAAACAATACTGATAAATCTAATCAACAGCTTCAATTTATTTATTCCTTATTGTTACACAAACATAACCAAGTTTAAAACATAAAAACTATTCTTATAACTAAAAAGATACAGTAATGATTACAATATATTTAATATTATTTATCAGAAAAAAAAAAACTTCACTCTTTACTTCCTTTCAAAAAGAAGTACCTTTCATCTATCTGCTAAACTGAAAAACATTACACTGTTTTAATTCTAGATCTTTATCCTTTAACACTTACCTACATTTTTTTATAATAATGTAGTTATTTCATTACCACACAACACTAAGTTTAGCTCATAATTAAAATTAAACTTACTTCTTCATTTCTGTTGTCTTCCTGCATTGTATTATTTAAGGCATCACTAATACCAGCTTGAAGTGCTCTAACCCACTGCTGACAAGCTTCTTCTGAGTCTGCCTGAAGCATATGACTTCTGAGAATGTAAAATATAATAGCTATGGATTTCACAAATCCAACTATATAATAAAAAAGGGCTTAAAATAAGCATTGGGCACAGATATACAAACAGAACCAACAAACTTATAAGTTTGTTGAAAATTTTGTTAGGCAAGAAAACAACATTGTAAAACAATGAAAAAGTGTACAAAATAGTAATTTTGGTTTTATCTTCTCTCTTCACATGCATACAGCCTAATTTACATAAATATGCAGTTTTAAACACTATAATACAAGTAACAGAGGAAGGCAATTCTATTGTTTCACAACCAAAGAGATTCTAGCTAGAAACATCTAATTTCTCTTTTAGCATGAAAGAGCATAATTGTGTGTAAATGAATAGTGTTGTTACTCTTCTGAAGTTTATTTGATTAATATTCTCCATCATTGTTCTAGATAAGCTAATGAGTGGACATAGTTCAAAACTACAGTATTCAACTGATAAGAAATATCAAATTTAACCATATAGGTTCTATATTCAATATTAAATCATCTCTTTAGTTGCATGGTGATAAACCATCCTTTAGCCAAATGCTAAAGTAAAACAAGTAAAAAAGAGGGGATGTATGTTCTCCTAATCATTATTGTACAGTGCACAAAAATGAGAAAATTATGTTTTTCATAAATACTACATTACAATAAAGAAGGTAGTGCATCTTCTTTGTAAATACTGTATTATAAAGGAAGAGATACAATGATTCTAAATGGTTTATACTCAAATTCTGAAAGTTTATACCTGTTCAATTTCATCTTAAAATGTTTTTTTGTTTTAAATTTCCTGCAAAGCAACTTGAGAGCTATCTGCACTAGCTATCTCTAATTTAATAGTAATGGACTACAGGGAAGGCAGCTAGTTAACACCACCCACCACCAAGTCTTTTGTTACTCTTTTATCAATGAACAGTGGAATTGACCATCACATTATAACACCCCTACAGCTAAAAGGGTGAGTATATTCAGTGACAGGAGCAAGCTAAAAAGAATTTAACTGTAATCCTTGTTACAACAGCTTCTAAACCTATTAGTAACATTAATTACTTGCTTTATAAAGTGGATTGTATTAATTGTTATTTCAAAAAATTAATTTCCTAAAAGTTTTACTACTTTCACAATTCATTGTACATTGAATAAACTTAGTAATCCTAAACTTAAAGATATTGATTTGCCTACAGCGTAAAAGAAAACTATTACACTTTGTTTATCTTTTCTTGGTGATAATCTTTTACGTAAGAAAACAACTCAAAAATATTGTTCATGATTTCTTCCCACAAGTATCTGTTTGTATTATTTATAGAAGTGGATTTTGGCTATAAAATTTTTTTCACTTCACCTGTGGTCAGCACAAAAGTTCATGCTAAAAAAAAATATAAAAAAAACATTAAAAATAACGTGTTGTTGAATAACACATACATTTACTATCATTTCATGAGGTAATGTAATGCAGCTGTTTAAGATATTAATTACACTATTCTCTATAGGACATAGACTGAAGAAAAACTTAGAATAAAAGAGAATCTTGCAATTATTATATGGAAGACATCAGTTAACAAACCGAAAAATGTTGTGCCAAAGATGTTGTTAATATAGGCTTCATAGTCTATTGGACAGAGATGAGTTTTTAGTTTTAATATTTTAAAATATTTTAAATACTACAGCACAACTAAGTAGACTTTATAGTTTCTTTAGAAATACTATAATGCAATAATAGTGGAGGAATTTTTTTAAGTATTATAGTTTAACAAAAAAAGGAAAACCAATTATTTCTAAGCATAAAACAGAAATAAAGCACACTATTTTTAAATTTTTAAAGAACAAAGAAATTTATGTACTTACTTAGACGGGGACTGTACTTCGAAACAGAAGCGTCTGTCAACTTCTGTGGCCAGTTTAACAGAGCACAATCTCAAGTCTTCTTCCATAACTGTAATTAAATCATCTTTTGTTCGTTTCCTGTACACCAACTGTCTGTTCTGAATAATAAACCAGCGTCTAAAGAAAGAATATCACATCATATGGACATATGAAAAATAAACATTATGACTTTCCTCTAAATTTGGTCGACAGGTGTTTAGCACTCAGAGATGAACAATGGTAAACCAATGAAGCTTCAGAACTAACATCAGCTAAAGGTAGGAATGAAACTACAACAAACAAGGAAGTCAGTGGTAAGTTACTTACTCTCATATATTCTGTATGCATGCCACTTTCTCTGTTATATGCCTTCAAGGTTGTTATTTCTGCTGCAGCAAAGATTCATAAACATTCCAAATAGACTGCTCAGATCATCACTTGTTTATTACTCAAATCCCATTATATAACACAATCACTGGCTTTTTCTAAGATCCACTTATTGTTAGCTGGAATTTCTTCCTCTAAGATCCATTGTGTCTACTATTAAAAGTTCCTTAACATGTACAGTTTCAACATCAGAGAGTACACCATCAATTAATTTTATAGTCACAGTGTACTTAACACAAATATACTCCAAGCATTGAGAAAAACTGTCTATTTATAAACTACAGTGGATATTAGAAAAGAAACACTAACATAGAGACTTGCACACAAATGGTTAGTTGTCAAATTATGGTTTAACAAGTTCTCTTCTATGGGTACAATTAAGAGACATTTCAATAATTTAATTGGTTTCTAATTTAAGCAAGAGATAATCCAAACTTTTTTTCAGGTTTGCTTCCATTTTCAAGAACTTTTTACAAAAAAACACAAAGTAATACTTTATAAAGCAGTACCTATTCCACGTTTTAAAGGCATTTGATGTTCGTTTGAAAAGAAATCCCTCCATTCTGATGATGTTCTTTGAAAGCAAATTCCTTACTAGAACAGGGATTACATCCTGTAAAATAACAAACCATAATAGTTGCTCTTTTACTCTTATTTATTTGCCATGCAAGTATATGTTATATGAATGACACACAATGTAAAAAAAGAAATTAGTTTTATTTAAAAGGTGATTACAGTGATATCAGATTAGATTATCTTTACTTCAGACTTCATTAATTTTACCCAAGATTAATCTATTTCTTTAATTCCCATTTAAAAATATTTATATTTGTTCCATTCATGTGTTGTTAATTTCTCAGACATCCATAATCTCAAAACATACTTTTACAAATATTAATAGCTTACAAAAGTCCTTTGCTTCTCACATAATCCCACTTCCCCTCATTATTATACTACTACATCAATAATACTAGCAAAGCAGAAATTCATCTACAATACTTCAACTTCATAAAAATAAAAGCAAGTGCCACAAATCATGAAGAAACCAAAAGGAAACTAAAAAAACATAATTTAAAGGTGTACATGAATAATCAGAAAAAATGTTAGATCCTCTCTTTCTAGCAAAGGAAATACCAATGATAAATCAGTTTTTTAACTGTACATTTAAAACATATTTCTAATATAGAATTATTATATTGCTACATTTTATCCTTCAGATAGGTTTTGAAATGCAACTGCAAAACTAAACAAGAATAGATGAAAATTAATTGTATTTCTCTGATTACATTTTTGGTTTAAAACAGCAAAAAATAACTTTACCGTCTGAGTAATGAGAGAATGTCTTCCTTCCATTTTTTTTTCTAAACTTGTACTTTCTTCTTTCAGTTTGGTTAGCTAAAAAGAGTGAAAACTTCTACTATTATCCAACTTTGATATATAGTTTCACTGAACCCATAACTTGATTAATAACTGTTTACAGCTTAAACATATAAACTTCTAGGTGAACAGAATTCAAGAAACCAACTGAATAGATTACTTGTACACTAAATGTACAACCTTCTGAGCTTTACATTCTCCATACTGCAAGGATTACCACCAAAATAAACAACAAAAATATCAAAACTCTTTATAGTTGTTCTTTAACTTGTTGCTTACCTTTGTTAATTATTATATTAAAAACTTTACCAAGAAAAAAAAAGTGTCTTAAATAAAAATAAAGTTCTTAATCAAAAGAAAACTACTTTTAACAGATAACGGGGCATTTTACACCAACAACATATATTCTTACTTGGCTAGAAGACCTAATACTCTAGTCTGAAGGCCTGTTCTTCAGGCCATAAAATCACTTCATGCTTTAAATTTGAAATTAACTGAAAAAGACATACTTTAGATCTAACCTGATATTCAGGGTTCAAATAACAAAATCATATTACAAATATACCTTGATGATAATACATTATTCTGGGTTAAAGTGTGACACAGACGATCATTAACGTTTACTTTGGGAAGGTTGGCTCAGTACTTACAACATCTTGCAGTTTTATGAGCCATATTTAAACTGAGAGCAATCTGCTAAATCATTACAGTTTCTTTTTCTTTAAGCTTGATACTGCACCTCCCCAACCAATAATAAAACAAAAGAACAGTACAAGAAACTCCTATAATTCCTCTTTAGTTAATAAGGACAAAACTGGGTTTCTAACTAAGCTATAAGTGTGTTAAAATAATTCCTTCCATTGTTCAGGCAGAACTCAGTACTAGTAACTCTAAATCTCTACACCAAATAATTCAAAAGTTGACATGAGAATGAGCTAGTATTATATATAAATCAGTAAATTAAAATATTCTCTTTATATTGGTTATAAGTAACATGCGACATGTGGGTTGGACTTTCTGATTTATATCGAAGTAAAACAAAATGACTGGAGGCTTTAGAGTTTGATTTTATCTTCTTAGTAATATCAACAAGTTTATAACTTGCATCAAAACTTAGAAGCATAAATAGAGGTGGAAAGATTATCTAAGATGTGCAGTTTGGAGTAAACAAGAGTCATGTAATATAGAAAAATGAAGATTGAGAATTTACTTAAATATTTTCTTTTGAAATTAAGAAATTAAAACTTACATAATATCAAAAGTTGGTTTAATAACTATGTATTGATGCAAAGTACATTGATAATACAGTAGTTTAATATATTTTGAAAGTAATTCTGTAAAAAGATCATGACATGCACATTTTTACCTACCCACATACAAGAAGTTACAGAAGGGATGAAGTTAAGTTTAGTATATACAAGAAGATCTTTATATATAAGATAATTTTAGTTTTTGAAAGGAGATAACGGGGAATTCAGTAAACATTTCTTTTCATTTCCTATTAAGTTTTAATTTGCTATCACATTATCACATTATTTTTGTTATTCTATGTTGTTGTTTTTTTATAATGAATTATGCCATTTATAGAAAATATGTTTAATAGTTAACAGAGAAAACCTAATAACTTATTTATACCATGTTGAGTACATTATATTTGATTAATTTTGAATATGAAAATCAGTAAATAATGTGATAAGCACACTTGAAATAAAGTTGTGGTGCAAAAAAATGTATCAAACTACATTTTGAAATTGTTTGTCATTGTGTAGATAGTGTGATGCCGTCGATAACTATTGCTTTTGTGAAGGGTACACAATAGCCATTTCTGATGTAAAATTTCATATATTCAGATCATAAAAATATGTTGAGATTGGGGATTTAGAATTTCCAAGACAAAGGTACCCGTTGTACGTAATGGAAAACAATGAAATATAGATCAACTTGGAGCACTAGAACCACACAGAAATAAAACAGCAATAAGTCATACCCCAGCCATGGTAAGCATAGTGTGGCATCTTGTAACAAGTAAGAATCTACAAAAACACAAAGGTCAGCAGGAAAATCTATGTGCTCCAATCAACTGTATGCAACATAATCGCAAAGCACATCCATCTGGAAAAGGGGAAACAAGTGGCTTCCATGTCTGTTCAACTATTGGATAATGCAAGCAGATGGAAAATGAAATAGATATTCATACTATTCCATAAAAAAATGTGACATATCAGTCAAGAAATAAAGCTAATTAATAATGTCCTAATGTAACTATATGTTCCTTAACTCCAGCAGTAAAATAAACAGTAATAAAGAAATTGATACTAAAAACGTTTCTGTCAACATAAAATAATACTACACTTAATATGTTACATTAAAGATATATTTTTTTATCTATATGTCAATTTATTAACTTCAGAATAAAATCTACAGAAAAATGGTTGGAGACGGCTTGAATGGATAATGAAGAAAAACTTTAATATAAGTTTAACATAACAGCAAATGTACCACGTTTCGACAAAACATTTGCTGTTATGTTAAACTTATATTAAAGTTTTTCTTCATCACCCGTTCAAGCCGTCTCCAACCATTCTTAGTCTCAAAGTGGGTTACTCGTCAGCGATAATCTATAGAAGTTTCTCCAGTCAATAATTATACACCTATAATACATTTAATTAAAGACTGGCAATAAAAACATATGCCAGACCTTATGAAGTAATATTACATATATATAATATATATATATACATGAGGATTTATATTTAACAAGACAATAAAATATGTTGAACAACTTACACTTAAAGAAATCAAAAATAAAGGTCAATAATAAAACTTCTTCGGCAATTTAGAATGAATAACTATGATCAAAATTATGACAAAAGAGATAATGCTTAAATTACATTATGAGCAACATCATCTTAAGAAAAATGAAAAACATCTACAAAAAACTGGTACTTACAGTGGCAGTTACCTGTTTTAGAAAAGGATCGTAGTCTTGAATGAGATCCCACCCTTGGTGGAAATAAGTAGTATACATATGTAACATGGAGAGCAGCTTTAGGGGGAAAAAAGCAAAAAAAAACAATTTTATGATCACAGTATATTTCATAAAGTAAGATATAAACTCCTGAATCATAATTTTGTAAAGGACACATATAATAAAGATCCAAGGAAAAAACATGGTATATTCTCATAAAGGGTGATGATGAAGAAAATCAGAAAAATGAAAAAGTCCATGCATGTAATGAATATTTAGAGGGTAAAGATGAGAGGGGTCCAAGAAAGGAGCAAGTAAAGTTTCATAAAATCTAATAAGGACAGAGATCCATCATAAAAGCAAAGACATTTTTAGTGTGATATATAAAGCAATTCTGTTCCATTTTGTAGGTGGGAATCCAAAATACGTAATACCCAAATTCAGATATCTCAATGCAGTGTAGTAGTTTTAATTGCCAAAAAAAATACCTTACTAGCAACAGCTAAAAGGGTTATGGTGAAAATTATTACATACACAATGTCACATACAGGTGTGAGATATTCTACCCACTAACATTTGACTGAACAACTTATGGTACTTTCTATCAGTCATAATGCAATGTGCACTACATGGTGAACAGTGTGTACGTGTTTCCTGCAGCACATTAATATCAATTTATGTAAGAAACCTATATTACCACATAAGATTATTGAGATTGCATCAATTCAAATAAATATTATGCTTGATCTTGTTTCTCTTCATGACTCAATGCTATTGATACTTTAAAGCAGTCAAATACATAAAATAATCAGCATAAGATCACAATAATTGTTAAAGTGAACAGAGAAATGACTAATAACAGTTAATAAACATAAATACACAATCGTTTATAGTCAGACTTACTTAAATGTAGATGTTATACTATATCAATTTGTACAAGTAACTAAAACTGTTCACCACTTCTTGTGTGACATTTTTAGATAGTTGCATTCACTGGAAATTCACTAAACATAACAATGACAGATTAACTTTGACTGAGCAAGTCAAATGCTTTCATAATTCAGATATATATATCACACAGTTGTTAAAAAGAGCTTTTTGTTAAAAACTCAAAACATCTGATTTTCACCAGTAAAATGAAGCACCCAATAATGTGGTTAACTGTTGAGGGGATGAAAGGTTGTACTAATAAGCAGATGTTTAAACCTCAAGAATGTTTATGAAGCAGCTGAATGTTTTCTTATTTATTTGTTTTCTGTTATACTTGTAGAAGCAGCAAGTACATTATACTTAAGAAATAAATGTATTTTTCTAATGACCCATTCATAGTTTCCTTATAAATTTTAAACAAACAAAATTTGTTTTCATAAGCATTAACAAAACTGGTACAAGGAAAAAGATGACAGAACAAGTACCGTTTTTTCTTAATTGTCTTGGACCCAGTGAAGAACTGAGTGCCCCCATTCAATTGTGGGAAATCTTCACCCACATCCCCAAAAAGAAAAATAGGGTAATGGCTACCAGAAAATTATGACTTGAAATTAATTAAAATTGTGAAAAGATCTATATAAACAGAGTATGAAGTAAGTGTCATTCATACACAAATGTGCTTTAGAAAAAGTTATTAAACTTAGAAGAACTGACATCTGCAGTTATTTATGGCTTGTAATAAAAAAACAGCCACTTAAACAATTACTGGTTGTTGAGTAAAAAAATAAAATAAACCTGTGAGTATCATTATACCATTAAAGGCCAAAAACAATACATTCAACTAACGCCCATTACTACTCTTACAGAACAAAACAATAATAAAAGTACATATTTGACAAGTAAATTTTAAATGGGAGTTTTAGTGAAATATTAGCTACCATAAGTAATGACTTACTGTATCTAGGGCTTCAAATCTCTTCTTCGTCTGAAGAATACTGACCTGGGAGAACATTGTAACACTTCTTACCATAATGTAAACAGTTTCAATAGTCAACATAAATTGTATTTATTTCATTAAATGAATATATATACACATACAAACACACATAAAAAAAAAAGAGTTATTGAAAATCTTACCTTATTAAATATACCTTAATTGAATTACTGCATTTTTATAATTAAATATATTGTTATTTACATTTAAAGGTATCAACAAAATAACATGGTCTTCTAAAAATGTATTTTATATTCATAGAGGAAAAAATTAACACTAGATAAAACAAATTCTATTCTAAAAGAGTGTTTTGATTATAAGTTTGGTATTTTAGTACTTGTAATAGTATTATTCTTTTGCTCATAATAACACAGATGTCTCCAATTATTCTTTTTAATTTCCTTTTTCAAATATGTTTCTCAATAGAAAATTTCATGAGCAAGATTCATAAAGGAACTCTATAATGCAGGCCCTTCAACTAAGAAGGAAAGTTGATTAAAAAAAAGCATTCAAGTTTAGCTGCTCAACTTTACATTTCAATGTAGATATTTAAAGAAAGTTTTATTAAGTTAATCCAAAATGTCATGCAGTGTATATAGATATGAATCATGAGCTTTAAACTTCATAAGACCTATAACATGATAAAGTTAAATTGGATAAAATTTTGTATCACTGATCTAGCTGTGCTAATTCCCGGGAGGTGATGTTACTCAAAACTGCAGTATTCAGCTGATCATGCTATGGGATTTGTTCATCAGAAAGGGAAAATATGTTTAATATTTCAAAAACAGTAATGTTTTCTTTTACTTATATCAAGCCAACAGATAAGGATTGAAAATTATCATATGAATATTATAGAATATGTGATATCACTTGTTAAAATACACAAATCTCTATTTTAATAAGACACAAATATCTCCACTCTAACATGTAATACCATTATTATTTTGTTTTTAATGCTAATCAAAATAAAATACAAAATTCCAAGTGACATCAGTCTCATGTACATTTATAGTAGTTTCAAGTACATAAGGACATGGGCACAAACCTAATGAATAAACCTAATCAATATCATACCAAAAATAATATACAAAAAAAGTATAATACATTGATAAATATTACTGAATAACTGACTTTATCAACAGATAGCATGACTTTTACTGTCCTATAAATTACCAATATTTAATCCTAGTGGGAACATCTGAAAAAATGCTAATCACATACCCATTCTACCAAGATGCTACTTCAAGACAAAGGCTGAAGTACTTCCTGAACAGTTTAACTTGTCACAATAATGTGTTAAAACTTTTGAATTATTAGTATAATTACCAAACTGAATTGGCCAAGGTAAGTAGCAATTTTGAGGGATTAAAAAATTTGGGGGCATCAATCTACCACAATCATTCTTTACTCTATAGGTAGCCTCTACTATTTTTCTCAGCAAAAAATACTAATCAGCTCATCAAAATACATTTTTAATTATTTGCAAACAGTAAAAATATGTTTCTCGAGTTAAAAACTCCACCTTAGGCCACTTTATCATTACTATGGTATTTAAATGCCTTTTTACCCTTAATTTCAGACTTAAGATTGCAATAAACTTTAGGAGTCACTTGTCAGCCAAAACTTATCAGAATCAGATTCCATGTGTAGCATTTTCTATATTCCGTATTCCAAGCTGCCAATATCTTTTTATTGCTATGTATTTTGGATTAAAAAACAAAAAATTCCAATCTGTAAAAAAATTGTAGATAATACTAGTTATTAGTAAATGATTTTCCATACATCATGTGAGAATGCGAACAACTATTCTCACCTTCATTATTTGTGGTATGCAAATACCACACATCTCACTATCCTATAGTATACATTTCATACTTAGAAAGCATTTTAATTTGGAACATACTAAATATGGTCAAGGTTATGTGCCAATTTATCATTAGGTGTTACTCTTTGTAGCAGGATTCAGTCATGGAAGCTGTTTAGTGCTTTTTGAATAGTTTTGTGTCCTATATTACCTTCTGTATGTGGGACTGACCATTCTATACTTGTTATTATGTGGAGCAGATATATTTTTGGATACATTTATGTATAGCATAGTAACAGTAAAAGTATTTGGAAATTCCAAGCCATCTTGTTGAAATAATACTAAAAGATTGAAACCTACTGGAATTAAAACTGGCCAGATGTCTAATATATATATATAATTCTTTTGTAAAAAGCTTAATACTCAAAACAGTGACAAAAAAAAAGGTTATGTTAGCAGAAATTAGTTCTGACAGTTAAAATGATTCTTAGATGCCATAGTTTCACAACTACAGATAATTGCTGTAAAGATAGATTTAAAATAATACAAAACATAAGAATACAAGTTGCATTACAAGATTTATATTTCGATCCACTGAAATGTGTTTGATGGATTGCAAATGTTAGATTCTTCTACCATGTATGAGCAAATGTTTTTTTTCATTTTTAATTTAGTTACTGTTTATCTAATTGGTTTGATATGAAAGATTTGTCCATTACTTTCACGCTGAAAGAAAAATTGAAACATTGCTTCATGCACTGCAAAGGGAAAAGTTATTAGTTTTACAACTGGAGTGGCTTAGACTGTGGATTCGTTAATTACAAAGACAATTATTCTAGTTAATCCTTTCATGAAGGGGTCACAGGTGAAAGGTCATGTCATCTTGTTTGTTGACTCGCATTAAAAATTTTATTGAACTACTTTTTCATGAACATATGTCAATAAGTTTGGTATCAAACTGTAGATTATAATTCAAATTTTAGTACTATACATTACTCAATTTCTTAATTTAAAAGTAAATATTAAAAAACACAGATAAACATCAATCTTTGTGTGTCACACGCTATGTTGAATGGAGCACTGTTTCAAATTAGATGTTTGTGAAGTCAAAATACAATGTCTATAATTTCGTACAAATTAGAAATTCAAATTACTGATATCGACAAGCTAGAATATAAAATAAGAACGTCTTATCTTTTCTATTTGCCGAGATATTGCTCATGTAATAAATCAAACACAGTGGCACCCCACCCACCTCTTTCCATTTTTGCAAACACTCCCTTATATGCATTTACTTCTATATATGAAATGAATAAGCAATCGGAAGCTCAGAATCTCTCCCTAGGGCTTTCACAGCCATTTTAATGGACTTGGACACCATTTCTTTCTTTTGAACCAATATTTCAAGCAGGTAGGGTGTGTTTTTAGTATGCTTGAAATTTCATATTTTTTTTAGACTGAAATACATCTTAGTTTGATAAATTATAGTGGAATTCTATGGTACTGATGCAGTAACTTATGATTTTTTAGTTATTCAACTGTATATGTAAAACCTAAAAAAATATTTTGTTTCATATCCTCCATGTGCAAAATTTTTAAAGGCTTAGCAACCTACATCAAGCAGCAATTGGGTACAAAGGTCATAACTAGAAGAGATAATTGTTTACTTTACTTCTTTATTTACTGTTTTATGTTTTAAGAAAAATAAGTTTAAGAACTTATTTCAAAATAGCAATAATATATATATATATATATATATATATATATATATA